TGACGAAATTCAGCCAGAACCAATCAACCACAGAATCACAAGACTTCTAGACAAGGGCTATGAGGAGGACGAATGGTGGATGAAAATCAGGGACGAGATGCTCAAACCCCATGGCACTCCTCACTCGAAGGAAGTTTCTCTATCGGAATGCATGATAAACGAAGGCCGATTATATTTCCGAGAGAGGCTATACGTACCCGCAGGCGAACTACGGACCCTTCTCACTCAACTCGCCCACGACAGCGTCGAATCAGGCCACCCCGGGAAAAACAAGCTATACGAACTCATTTCACGCTCTTATTGGTGGCCAAGGCTTAGCGCCGATACGAAACAATTCACACGCAATTGCCACGGATGCCTGAGGAACAAGACCTCCCGGTTACGGTACCAGGGGACGTTGAAACCGCTCCCAGTTCCCTTGCAAAGATGGAGGACTTGTCCGTTGACTTCATTGGCCCAATTCAGCGCACAGCTCGTGGATTCAACGCAATCATGGTGGTAGTCGATAGGCTGTCAAAGGACAGACATTTCACGCCTTGCAAGACCGACATGAAAGCACATGACTTGGCAACGCTCTTCGTACGAGATGTCTGGAAACTCCATGGACTACCGGATTCAATCGTATCTGATAGAGGACCACTGTTTGTCTCGGAATTCTGGAAAGCGGTTTGCCACCGCCTACAGATCAATATCAGCCTCTCCACAGCATATCACCCCGAAACTGACGGCCAGACGGAAAACGCTAACTCATTTCTCGAACAATACCTTCGCCAGTATGTTAGCTTTGCTCAGGACGACTGGGACGAGTGGCTCCCATTGGCCGAATTCGCAGCCCGTAACGTTGTTAGCGATTCAACGGGAATGTCTCCATTTTTTGCGAACACAGGCTACCACCCCCGAATGAGCTTTCGTTCCCCTCGCGCAATACCACTCGCGGCATCCAAAGACCTGGCAGAACGCTGCAACGGGGAACGAATTTGTCGCCAAGATGCAAGAAATCACTGATCTACTTCGGACAAACCTGCTCTCAGCTCAAGCCTCACAAGAACAGTTCGCCAACGCAAATAGATCACCGGCGCCAGCGTACCGAGTTGGAGACATGGTGCTACTTAGCACACGCAACATCGATTCGACCAGACCCATCCCCAAACTAGATCATAAGTTCATTGGCCCTTTTCGAATCGAGCGCGTGCTCAACCCTCACTCCTACCAACTGAAGTTGCCACATGAATTAGACTCAATTCACAATTCATTCCACGCCAACCTCCTACGACCGTCACCAAACGACCCGCTCCCCGGCCAATACAACACACCGCCCCACCAATAACGCTAGATGCAAGGGAGAAACTCTGGGCGATTGAAGCAATACTGGACTCGAAACGCACAAAACAGAAAGGCTTCCAGTACCATATACTATGGAGAGGCTTCGACCTTGAGCAGGCAACATGGGAACCACTACAGAACGTCGTCAACGCTCACATCGCCATCAGAGACTTCGAGAAGCACAGCAAAAACAAACCCAGACCCACGAAACAAGAAGTGCAAAATGCTCGCCTACAGGCTCAGCAAGACGTGGAAGAATCAGAAGCGATGGAGTAAGGGAGGCCCATGTGAGGGAACGATCATGTGACTTTCATACTTTATGAAATGTCTCACTTTGATTCATGTAAATAGCGAAAGTCAGAGTCTTCCTTAGGAACCTCCTTCTCTCTTCGTAGACAATCACTTTACCCAAGTCGCACCCGACCTTGTTCGTGCACTTGTACCGTCACAACTATGTATAAGACGGCAAGACGTCCTATGCTCGACTACGAGTCATTGAACCTCTCCCATGGTCGCCAAGGTCAGGCTCGAGTCATGACGGTTCTATGGCATTGTCTCCGGCCAAGCCCCGAGGCGGGGGAAAAGACACGAGACATGCCCCTTGCTTAAAGAAGGCGTGCCACGTCCCATGTTCCTCCCCCACAGCTAATCTTCTCTCGTCTAGGGGACAAGATAGGGGCGTTGCGAGCAGGCTCCAGCGGTCGGTAGGGAAAGGAGCGGTAACTGGGGTTCAACGCCCGTCTCACCACGTATTATTATAAAGAAGAGATGGCGCACAGTCGTCCGCAGCCTCGTGGACTTGGACCGACACAGTATCTCTCTCTTTATGGCTATACCTATAGTTAGCGGGACGGCCATGGCGCAGGAATGTAGACATAGCTGGCTTGAACCAGTATTCCATAAGTGAAGACACTACATAGTTTCCTCCTATTTCCCACTTAATTTCTCAATATACGTACGTTAGTCAAGGAAATTGCGATATTTAACGAGATGAGATCTGGAGGTACATCCCAGCGGAATCGTTTACGCCGCGCTGTATACAGAGGGCGCGAATAATGATCGGGGAGAAGCTGTGGTGCTTATGCGTAGCTAGATATCACGTCCGCCACCTTCCAGGGGAGAAGCTACTCATGTGACGATGCTGGGTGCGATTGAACTGGTTGACCAAAGGATGCGAGCAAAGCCGCTGCAGGCCACAGATATGGAAATCCGTGTGCCTTGGGGATTTGGGGTTCTCTGCTTCCCAGTTTTCCTTCAAGACTCTCGCATATTCTGATTTTGCCGTGAAGCCTTCATACAACGATTGAAACTTACCGCCAAGCGTGCGAATGTCCACCGGATAGCCGGTCTTGGCATCCTTGCAAGTAGTTGAACCTTGGGCCTGGGCGACAATGGCGAGCTGTCCGAGTGAAAAGCGAACGGTCGTTTCACTACTTCGTGTCGGCTCAATGTGATTCTGCCGGTAGGCGGCAATGACAAACGATGGTGGTTAGCAAGGCCATGGCTATATGACACCTGGATATAAGCAATACGGACGGCATCGGGATGCTTGAACTGCTTTCGAATGCCGGGCTGAGCTGGGGCTGTATCCATTTGGGTCCGTCATGGCCATGGCCGGATTGTTGGTGCTGGCAGAAGAAGGCGTAATGTTCCGCAGAGTGTTAGAAGTAGTGGGAGAGATCAAGTGTGAGAGGGACGGCTCATTCGCCTGCTTGCTTCCACTATGTGAGCAATCAGCGTGACTCTGATGGTGGTCAGGAGCCGGTTGTTGTCTGTCTTCCTGCGTGTACGGAAACGCCGGTCAGAACAATATGTATCTTGGTTGGCAAGCATATCTGTGTCAAACTCGGAGCCTGAGGGGCCTGCACAGAGAGGGGATGCTATCCTTGCCTTGGTTGGAATCGTCATTGCATCTGACCCGCTGCTCCCCTTGCCGTATATAGTTCGAAATGCGCGGCTTTGCATGTACCTTGCTCGTTATGTACATGTATAGAACGGATTAACATCGCCCGGCCGGCCAATATCAGTAGACATGAGTTGCTGATATTATATCCATGACTTCGGAGCCGAGATACCGTTTTAGGGGTCTTCCAACGAGCCAACCGCTCCTCTTGCATGACGTACCGAGCCACGGCTATACAATTTTGAGCATATGTGCATGCATTCCCCACGCCTTTGTAGGAACCGGCACCAGACGAAACGATCGTTGCACGGCATCCCAATAAACGCGACGAGACTCCGCCGTTGAAAGCGACAACGAATTCAAGATTATGTGCAGCATCACCAAGACACCACCGCCGTCTCGAACGCGGACCCGGAACCGAAAGGTCAAAGGGATAACCACAGAGTGATGAACCCGTAATAGGGGGTTCCGCAACACTGCGGACCTCCACGTTACCCACCGCCGCCAGGCACCAATATGGAGAGCCGAATGGATTGTTTTCACATACAGGTTTATATCGCTTATTAGGCTGCTAATGCAATTCTCAAGGCGCCAAACCGGCTTCATGCAAGTCAGCCGCACCTGGTCACATAGAACAGCGGTAACCGATCAACGATGGCAAACCGGTAAGAGCCCGAGACCCCGCGCTCACCTTGCCAGTCGCATCGAGAATTCTCCAAAGATCATCACACGTTGAGCAGGATGCCGCATATGGGTATTAGACAGCTACCTGAAGGCATCGCGATGGCCATTGAAAACAACCCTGATATTTCGATATTGACTTTACAGTGGGCGGTGATGAAGCAGTGTCATGGTCTTTGTGGCGAGTTGTAGCACGCGTATCGTGTTGAAAAGATGGGGTACGGGATGTCGGCTGGACGTTGCAGGTGCTCCCCTGGTTAAATCTGGACCCGGCGTTGGGCAAACTGCTGGCATCAGTCGACGAGGCTACCGAATTTCTGGAGACGGGTCGCAACGATGACATCGAGTCAACGGTTGCCATGATGTATCCTGAGATAGCTGGTCCAGAGTCTACCACTACGCTTTACGAGCCGAAGGAAGCTGTCGTGGCTTCTCGTACTGGCATCTGACCTTTTAGGCGAGCCCCGGCTTCACCCACGATATCTTCACGACAAGAGGCTCCCTCCGTGCTGCAAAAGAAAACATGGTTGACACGCTTCTGCGGGACGGAGCGGATCCCTGGAGACTTGTGGCAAGGACGTTTCCGAGGAAGACGCCCATACGTTGAACATTGCTGTTTATCAGGGCGACGCCTTGGGCGAGGGAGCAAAGGCCGTTGTCCTGGGTGAAGATGTGGCCGAGGAGCTTGTATCCGGATATCCACGGCGCCTGCGAAGCTGGCTAGCACGCTCACGCCGCCGAGGACCAGCCCGGGGACTTCTGTCATGGTTGAGGCGATGCTGGCTCCAAGTTGTGGCCCAATGTCAGGGAGGTAATGGTATTGGCAAATACGAAGCAGGTAGGTCTGGTTAGGGCAACCATCTCTCGCTAGAATCGTGGCCCAATGCCTGCAAACGGCGACACAGATTCACTCTTTACTACTCTGTGCATCTCTACCATCCGGGTTCCATATCCAAGCACATCAACAGGTGCAGGCCCTGCTGTTTCCAACGCCATGCGGCGCCATAGCCAAGTAAAATGTAAAAGAACCCCAACGCCGAGTGCGTGTCCCATGAGCAGCTATGAGTCCTGTATAATGCCCGCAATCGTCACTCTATGCATGCACGGGCCCGTGGGCCTCGCTCTCGCTGACGACGCTGCCGACCTCGGACCAGCTGGCTGGCGTCAGCATGCCCTCGCTCTCGCTCAACACATCGTAAGGCCGCCCCGTCTCTCCCGCCCGCGACGACTGCGCCTCGTTGGCAATATCCTCGCCAGAACCGGCCAGCGACACCGAGTCCGTCGGCGTGAGCTGCCCGTCGCTGACGAGCTCGGGCTCGGACGCGGGAGCGGCGGGGGTCACGGGCAGGGGGGAGTAGAAGTTGCGGCTCGAGTCCTGGGCCCACGCCTGGATCGAAGCGTAGGCCTCGTTTCGGTCTTCCTGGCCGGCCGACATGTACTCGTCGTCGGCCAGGACGCGCTCCAGCGTTTCAGCCGGTTGGGGTTCTGGCTCCGCCGGGGCGGGCGCGGTGTCGATGAGCACGGGCGAGGGCTCCATGGTGGCGCTGCGATAGTCGTCTGATTGGCGCGTGGTGGCGCTGTAAATGTCCGACATGGCTTCTTCCTTGACGGGGGGGACGTGGCTGGCCGCCATCTCGGACATGTCATCGAGGCCGATGCAGTTTTCGTCGGCAAAGGGGTTGGCGTAGAGCGATGTGCCGAGCGCCCGCGGTGCAGGCTCGCCACGGTGACGAAGACCGGCGGCCGGGGTGTGTCTGGCGTCGGCTCCGCTGTTGAAGACGTAGGTGCCGTCCTCTGCATCACCATCCTGCCGCAAAAAGTCATCAAAAGAAGGTCCCCGACTGACGGCGGAGGGCCTTTGTACATGGGCGGCAGCAGTGGCGGCAGCAGCGAGGGGCGCCTCGTCCTGAGACTTGTCCTCGTCCTTTGCCCGCAGGCGCAGGCTGTTCCAGTAGAGCAGCTCCTCGCGCTGCCTGCGGCGCGTCTCGTCGTCTGCGTCGACGCCGGGCTGGGCGCCGCGCGAGAGCATGAAGCCGTCGGCGTCCTCGGGCCGGTTGAAGCGCGGCTCCCGGTGCGGCGGCTCGATGCCGTCGCCGATGGAATGCAGGGCAATGGCGATGCGGCGGCGGACGTCGTCGGCGTAGCGGCGCAGCTCGGGGGACTCGTAGATGGCGACGGCGGTGGCGACGGCGACGGAGACGGCGACGGCGGCGCCCGAGGCCAGGACGACGTGGTTGACGATGGGCATGGTTCGATGAATGGGGCCTGTTGACGGGCCGGTTGATGGGCCTGTTGATGGGCCAGAAAAGGAAATGTCTGTCAGAGCAAGAGGTTCGTGGCGAGGGCTCGAGGAGTTGTCGTCGTCATGATTGCCACCGCCCTCAAACACTGCGGCTGGAGAAACGAGGGAGGGGTTGCCTGATTGGGAGAGGCGATGACGGCGGGGGAGGGGGGGCCAGGGCCGCGCGTGCGTGCCGTGGTCACATGATCAGCCAGTAATGACTTTTTTTAAATAATGACTTTCAATAATGACTTTGTGAGCGAGAAAAGTAATAATTACACTTGGCTGCAGAAAGAACGGGCAGGGGCGAACCCAACAGAGGAGGAGAGAGACTAGAGAAGCGAGGGCATATAAAAAACTAAACAGGGGGAAAGGGGGGGCCTATATCCGTGCTTGCATCTTTTGGCCTCGTCGTCTTTGGCGCTCAATCACTCCCCACTCCCGCTGTAGGCTGCGGCCGCAGCATTGTTGGCCAATTCCGGCAACACAACACGGACGTCCCTGGAAAGGCCCCCTGGTCAATGCGACGACGCAAGTTGGTGGAGACTTGCAGTGCGCTCCATTCCGTCGGTGCCGTCTCGGCCGACGCTCCAGATTGCCGGCGGAGTAAAATTTGCACACGGGGCCGGAGTTTGGGCACAAGGGGCCGAGCCCGGTCCGGGGCTCCCACATCCCGGCCGTTCTTAGCGTCTGGTTTGCGATGCCCCGGAGGTCGTGGACGACCCGGGATTCCATTACAGAACACCGGTAGCACAGCTGCTGACGGGCCGGCTTGGCGAATGCTCATTGCTTTCACCCGGGCGCTGACACACGGGAGCACAGCATCCCAGAATAACGTTCCAACCCAAATATTCTGAGACTATAACTTTGCCATTGTTATACGCGCCATTTGCCCAGGCAAAAATTCTCTCTGCACCTCAAAAAGGAAGCACATGTGACGGCCATCCTACTTTTTTAACCTGTCGCTAAATATGCCATGGCTGAAGCAAAAAAACACCCATGTCCGCCCGTGGCTATGAGCTATTTGATGCCCGCTGAAGCTCCCAACTCCCCCCCGCATATGCACCGAAAAATCAAGCGCCGAGCCCGCGAGCCCCAACGCGCCATCAAACTCCAAAACAAGCCTTCTTTTTGTCTCCGTGTTCCCCGCCTCCATCGTCGCAGCAGCCAGGCGCGCACCTGCAAGCCAAGTCGTGGTGCATGCTTTGTCATTGGCGTCTAAGGGCTCGTGGGGGGAGAGGACGTGGTGGAAGACGAAACCGAGCTCGACGCGGCGCGGGCGGCCTTCATGCGCTCACTGCACAAGATGCTGTTAGCACCTGCGTAAAGTCGAGAAGTAGGCGAGAAGAAAGATGGGCAGAGACATGCCAGGGGGCAAACGTACTATGAGCCGCGGTCTTGCAGAGTGCAGATCCAGCGGGTATTGCCCGTCTTGATCTGGAACTTGATGCCACTCTTGTCGCCGAAGCCATTCGCAGGAGCAGCAGCTGCGGGAGCGGACGAGGTGGACGAGGTGGAGGAGGCGGAGGAGATGGAAGCCGAGTCGGGCATATTGGCGGTTGCTTGGTGTTTAGTTGGGGAGAATAGAAGTGCCTTGTCCTGAGCCCCGAGAGTTGTGTGGATGTGGTGTTGGTGCGCGAGGAGGGTTGGTTGTAGTTGAACACGGACGGGCTGGACGAGAAAGCAGAAAGAGGAATCGACAAATTTACAAAGGCGGAATAGGTTGCAAAGAAAGGCAAAGGGGGGGCAAGCGAAAGGGCGGACGGACGGGGGCCACGGCTCTGCTTTATACCCTGGCCACAGTCACCATCACAAGCCTCTGAGTGATTGCCCACAGGCGGCGCTCCCTCGCCAACTGGAACCCACCCCAGGCAAGGTCGCTAGGCACGTAGTATCAATTGCAGAGGTGGCTAAAAGTAGCTTCTGTTGCTCCCTTGGAGAAACGCCCCCTTGTTTCTCCACAGGCTCCGGTCCAGAGGGTGTCGCTCTGGCCAGGCCAAAACACGTCGCGGGCGCAAATCAGAGACACTCCCACGCAAGAATCCAGGTGAGCCATTTTCTGGTTTCTGGCGCGGCGACGCCACAGGAGGATGGATCCTGGGGTTGCTGGATATGCCCCTGTTTTGCACCGACACGCGTACAGTGTTCGGCTGATGCATAAGGCACTGTCCTGGGGTGGAGATTGCGCCGGCGACAGTGCAGACTGACACGGTGCATAGACACTGTACCTACCGCGGTCTCCGCCGACAGAACTGGTAATTGATGCGTCCAGTATTTACACAAAGACATCCAAGCTCTCGAGCATGCCGACAGTAGGCAAAGCAAGATGCGCGACTAAAACAAAGGGCCCCTTTGCAGCCGCCACTCCCTTGCCGGGCGACGGGCTTTGGGGCCCACCGAGATTTGTTCGTCAAGACGCCGCTTGAAGTCCGGGTGCGACGGGATAAGCCTTTTGCCTGTGCAGCAAAAGGGCAAAGTCTGTGTCCATCTAGCTCTGCCAACCCACTAGTAATTAGCGACTCTCTCATCTCCGGGCACGACGAGTCTCTTTCATGCCACGGTCCGTTGTCGGCGCCGACGTCCGCCCTGCCCTTCCCCCTGTCGCCGTCGTCTTCGTCAGGGGTCGGATTCCGGAGGTTGCCTCAAGGCGGGAAGCCGACACGGTAAACCCGGCCGAGACCCGCCTGGACAGATGATCCTTGCGTGCATGAATGAATGACGGCCGTCCGATCCGGTGCCCATTTTGCGGTCTGGCTCCACCTCCATATGGCATGGCCTCCGTTGCAAGTTCGGTTGCATCGACGTCTGCGATGTACTGTACAGTAGACGATGCCGCCAGTCCATCCAAGCATTTACTGCATTACTGCATTACTGCACTGTAGGCAGATGGCACGTCGACGACGTCTCCATCTGTCCATGCCAAGACATGACGAGACGGTGCCCTCGTGCAGCAGCGGCACATGCACCCACACCGCATACATGGATGTATGACGACGCCGTCCTGCAGATGTCACATGGATTGTTGGTGGTCGAGCTGGAGCAGAACAGACAGGGGCCGGCCCATCGGCTAACACGGCGCGCGAGGGCCAGTCAGTCTTTATTAGCCTGTTTTGGTGCCTGTATCGCATCCATCTCCTCTACCCACCCACACGTGGGCAAGGAAGAGGGGCCTGTTGCCAGAGGGGGCAAAGCTGGGGCAGTAGCCCGGGCCCAAAAAGAACAAGCCGCGAGAAACGCGAAGCAAAACGAAATTCGTCTCCATGGTTGTTGATGCCATGCCACAACAACAAGAAGCACCGTCGCCATGTCTCACACTGTGTTGCCTTTAGCCTCATTTTGCGCCTCACGTTACATGAGACACGCAAGGGCCGCCCCCAAATGGAGGTGTCACTCCGCATTTCGACTCGTCACACGAGCAAACAGACGGGAGAGCCATCCATCCATTCACGTTGAGAAGACGAAAAAAAAAAAGAAAGCAAGAAGTGCACTGTATACGTACTGTACTACTGTGTACGTACATACGTTACCAATATGGGAATCTCCCTCCTTTCCCCTCTCTTTTCTTCTCTCCCCGCCTTCTAGAAGCCCGCCTCCGCATGCACCCCGGCCCGGGCCCCTGTTGGAAAATGCAGGTACCAGGTACGGGACCCAGGCGAGGGGCTGGCCCGTGTCTGGGGTACTCCATACCACCCCCCTCCCCACCACTTGCGGCGCAGAGCCCCCTGCAAATACAGTGCGGCTTTACTTGGCGTCCAGTGCAAGCTGGTGATGCCGCCATTCACACGCACACTGCCATTTCACATCGCCAGGCAGACAAGAAACGGGCAAACTGCTCGCGTCGGCATCAATGGCCACTGGCCTGCGTCGTCGCTAATAATCTGGACGATCCGCACTGCCGGGCCTGACTGAGGCAGCCGCCGACCCGGATCGCCATGATGATCCCTCGACAGGCACAACTATCAGCCTCGCCCACGTTCTCTCTCTCTTTCTCTCCAATTCATTTCATCTTGGCATGGCGGGAGCTCTCATCGTCATTTGCGTACCAGCCCATGCACAAATGCTGCTCCCTGGCCCAGATCTTACCAACGCCCAGTGGCGCACAAACGCTACAGCACCATGTCCCCTTTCCAACCGAGGCCGGGCCACTGAGACACCGCTTGGCATGATGCCATTCTGTCTCGCCACCCAGCTTAAGCATAACTCGTCTGTTTCAGCCCCCAGTTACCTGGCCCGCTTGGCAAATGTCGGAATGAGACAGGCTGGAGGGCGTGCCGCGGGCCATCAGCCAAAACGCACGTGCTACGTTCCTCGTGCAGTTCGTGGATAGCCGTCAGAATATATGTCTTTGTCGTCGGACTGTCTACCAGACTCTCTTTCTATATCGCCGCCGACCGTAAATTCTAGATCAAGGCCATGCGTAGTTCGCTCAAGGCACCCGCGAAATACACTCTCGATAATAGGCTGCTTGGCCTAGGCTCTTCTTCATCCCTTCTGTTCAGAGTGCCGAACTGTGTGTTCAAGGCGACCGGGACCGGGTTTCGGAGACGATCTTGCAGTGGCTTAAACCTCCTCGTCGCGCTTCACCACAGGTTGAGTCGGTGGACAAGACATGAGCGTCCAAGGCGCGGGCCCAGATCCGGTTTCAATGTGAGACAAGGCGATTATTATCACAGACATGGCGGTTGGCACTCACGACGCTGTCCACGCCAAGGCGTTGGCCATCGTGCTTGGCGAGACCGCCAGCATCTATCGGCGAGGCATGTTCGCTGCCAAGAAGTGTCAAGACACATAGAGGAGCAAATATCGAGACCTTGATTAATGGAGATATTTGGTGTCGAGTTCCGAGGAGCGTAAGGGGTGTTGGCTGAAGGTGCAAGATCGGGGGCCACAAGCTTGACCTGAACACTGGACGCTGGACGTCGGGTTCTGGACTCGAACAGACACTTTTATACAGTGAACACCCAAGGTGTGACGCTGGAAGCTCCATGATAATTGCTCCTCCCAGGATGCGACATTTCACCTAGCACGGATGCCAAGATGAGGTGATGTGTTCGTAGGCTTCGGTGACCAGGTCAATCTGACGGATGGAGAAGAGTTGCAGTATTTTCCTTTATTGGCACACGTGAGATTGCGCCAGAGGCACTTCGCGGATGGCATTCTCGGGTTGGCTTGCGGTTGCCTCCTGGCTTCGATGACAGTCCATGGGGGCTCTCGACCAGTCAAATATGTTTCTCTGCTTTTCTCCCCCACGGAGGGGCATCTCTTCGTCTGTGTCCGGTGAGGTTGGTGAGTTCTGAGCAGGGGCATTCGACGTCCAGTTCCGGCTTCGTGGAAGCCGCGGGAAAGGAGGCGTATTCTTGAAGCCACTTCCGCTACGGGAAATTCCCCAAGAAACGATTTCTCTGTCTTTGTTCGGTTTCATTTAGAGAATTTCAAATTCATGTGTTTCTTGGGTGGGCCTGGTCGTCGATTAAGCATTTGATACATGAGCCGGGGCAGAAGGGCTGGGGCGCGTAGAGCTGGGCTTGCGAGGGACGAAGACGACAAACGTCGGCGGACGCGTTGTCCAATCCCCCGCCCGCAGTGCGACCCATACAGCTTCTACTTACAGTTGTCGCAGTGTCCGACGCCAGACGGCATCATACTAGTGTCCGAGGTGCAGAAGAGAGACCTGGTAGGCAACCGGGTCCCCGAGGAGATGACGGCCGCATAGGCTAGACCGGAGGAGCTGAGCGAGGGGACTGTACAAGAGGCGTTGGGCTGGTTGGGGGGCGGCTGGGAAGGCAGCTCGTACGACACAACATAGGAGGGCTAAAAATGCAAAGCAACAACCAATCACAACGGACCCGGACAGGATGGTGGGTGGTGAGATTCAAGGGAGAGGTCCCCGCCTGCGTCACGCCCGCCAGCACGCCGCTCAGTCGAGACCGCACTCGCCTCGCCACATGAACTCGAGCAGATCCTCGGGCGGCTCGGGACGCTTACACTTGCGACGAGGCATCCGCTCGCACGGCAGTAGCCACGTAACGTATGCCACCATCATCAGCCGCGCAGTCTCCCCCGTGCTTTCGCTGTCCCGAACAATCTAGTATCACGCGAAGTTGCCGAACAGCCATGTCTGCAGCTAAACTGCGACATATCGCCGGCCTTCGTGACCTGTGTCCGGCAGTCTGCCAGTTCCATTCAGCGACTTTTGCCGACATGGTGTGAAAGCGACAAGCACAGCAGCTATAGCCACACATACATACTTGGTAGTGGCAGCTTCTGCACCAGCGCCAACTCATCGACTGGCAGACAGCTATTCAATGGATTGTCGAGCTCCATGCTACCATAGTAGCCTATGATATCCGCCAACGGCTGGCCTTTCATGCCGTGCCCGTGAAAGCGTCGCTCTATGCCGTCTCCAGGCCTCGCGCCGCTCTGGCACACGCGGCATACTAGCATCTGATGCTGCTCCACCAGATCGACATACTACTCCACGGACGGCAGCCCAGCCATTGAGGACGCACCCAGCCGCGGCTAGAAAAAGAAAAAGGGCCGAAGCCGCCTTCGCGGGTTACTTGAGCATGTATGAATGAATGAATGAATGAATGGCCCGACAGCTTGTGAAGTGTACAGTGTAGTATTTCGTACAGAAAACAAATACCGTCCTCACGATCTGCAGCATCTGCAGCATCGCGCATCCATTTAGCTCGACGCGACGCACGACCCTGGTCACTGAAGGCCTCGGACCCTGGCTCGACTCGGTTCGATCCGCACCGACCTAACCCCAAACGCGTTAACCAAATGACCGACCTGATAACTCTAACGATTGTATGTGAAATTCGAGTTGAGTTCCCATCCACTGGAGAATAGGGATGAGCAAAAGCAGGCATAAAGATCGGGGACTGAAGAACTCTTGGTGGCTGATAGAGTGGGTGGCACTACTGTCTACAGGCAGCAGCTCGCCTAGTCTCTACTGCCTCTCAGGCAGTAGGCAGTAAGCGCCTTAACCTTGATTGGGTGTGACGATCTGATATACCCCATGTGATAGACTGGCATATTATACTACTACTTGAGTAAGAGGAGTATTAAGACAGGCACTACAAGATGCAGGCTTTAATTTCGGCTTTATTCAGTTTAACATTGTCTATCTCAGGAAGGAGAAAGCAGAAGGAAGGAGAAAACAGACTGTAACGGATCGGGCCCCCAACGGAGGCTCCAGGGGTAACGGAGGCTCCAGGGGTAACGGAGGCTCCAGGGGTAGCCTTCCTACTGACGTTAGCCCGGGGACGCCGAGCAATCCTTCTGCCCGTTACGGCAAAAGGATACGAGATTGAACTAATCGTCCGTTAGTTCAATTGGCTACGTATATAAGGGAGGCGACAGGTTGGCGGGAGCCACACACCAGGCCACAGCCTAATATTACACTATAGACCTGCTTGCTATTGACTTTCTCAATTAGTTTCTTGAGACGGATGTTATCCGGCTTAGTAAGAACTAATCCTTTGATGCTTCTGGCACGCATGGCATTCAATGTTTTAGCTGTTCTACTAATGGTTGATGAATGCGAGCGGCTATTTAGCAGTGCTAAGATACTAACCAGCGGTCGATGCGTAAGGTAGTCATTATTGAAGCTAGCAGGTGCCTCCGGTCCTAGTACGGCCCAGCTACGGGAATATTTTTAAGGATATCAACATCAGGAGACTAGAAGGGGAGTCTGATCTGCAGGAGGCCCACTCAGCTGGAAATAGATCTAAAACTAAAATAGGCTACGAGGACCTTTAGATCGTATATCAAGATATTTTCCTCGATAACAATACTGCTCAGCCCCAGGAAGGCTTGCGGTACTTAAACAGCGTTATTACTGTTAACCACACGCGACACCAGCAGGAAACAAGGATTGACTCGGTGGCAAATCTCGTGGTGACTCTTCTAGAAAATACACAATCCTAACCAAGGTGATCCGACCTCGACATCCGGTCCAGTCTGGTCAAACGAAATCACCGTAACAGATTAACTGAGGCATTGCAGTTCTAATTTAAGTTATCTGTATATCTCTAGAGAGAAAGACTATTGAGGTATATACTATTGCATCTTAGATTTTGTCAGCAACCCATCAAAGTTCTTGTCACTGAATGACAAGTTAGCTTCCCCAAAGTTATAAGCTTGCAGAGCATCCCAAGCCAGCTTCGTCAGCTTCTCCCAAGCAATCAATGGCTGCTCATCGCCCTTTTTAGTTGTGGTTGACGGGTGGTGGTCAAACAGCAATTCCCTAGTATAACTAATAAAGGGTCTGTCTCCTTCCCAGGTAACGTCGTGGCTGCCTTGGGGGTAATGCACGTAATCGCCGTGCTTCGACATGGCGATGCCAATATACTTAGCCGACTCGCTTCTCTCAGAGAGCCAGATGACTATGTTCTCCCAGTCGTGACGATGGCCTGAACAAACGACGGGCACGTCCTTTGGAAAGTACCAAGAATACATGATGGCGAACATGCCGTCTTTCTCAGCGCTGCGGGAATAGACCTGGCCTTTGCCATAGTCGCATTCATTGCTATCATTTCCGTCGCACTGACCAAGGCCATCGCTTAGGAGTCGTTAGTCTAGAAGAGAGCAACAAAACGATGCATGGAAACTTACTTAACGTTGCCCTGAGAATCAACAGCTGGAAAAGGCTTGCAGCCGTGCTCGATATACAACCATGGCTTATACCTCAGGTAAAGCTTGCCGGTAACATCGTCCGGCACTGTCTGGGGGAATTCCACGACCTTATCATGGGCAAGTCGGGGCTCGACTGCAGTGCCAGACGTAAGAGCAACTGCCATAGCTAGGCCAAAGGCAAGATGGGTGAAATTCACCATTTTGTCTGGCCGACGGTGCTGTGTCTTGCAGGAAATAAGCGATGTGTGAAGAAATCTCGGTTTGGATTGTATCTGCAGTGATGGATGAAGACGGCGATAGCGTGTCGATGAGCTGGAGAGAACGAAGGTGCCCAGCAGCCCTTTTTATTCCTGATTCTCAACCTCCTCACAAACCTGATCTTTGCCGTCCGAGTTATCATAGCTACATTGACGTAATTTCTTACCGCAAGTGGCCCTGTCCATTGATCCCTTGGCCATCCTTGCGCGATGATGACGCGTAAAGCTAGCTATTTGCTACAAAGCATTTGGCGACCATGTCATCCAATGGAGAGGTATAATAGGTGCCCATGGGCTGGGCACAGGAGGCCGCCTTAGCCTTCGCTCTGCTTCCTTTTGGCTCATTCTAGCTAGGCACGCAGGTTTGCGTTAGGGCGAACGCCTTGCCCGTAAGTTGAGAGACTGCGAACAGGCGAGAGCCGATTGAACTGCTGGTCAGTACAGTATGGCGGTCAGGTTTTACTGGGTTGCCTCACGAATTGTTGATTCCGATTACCAAGATTCCGACCTGCATCATCTGTGTCCTCTTCTCTACTCTGAACCTCTGCCACGCTTTAGGGACGGCCCGTGTCTGGTTGCGGACGTCCGCTCGCCCACGTTGCGTGCCTGGCGAAAGGAATTGGCCAGCAGCTCGGGTTGAATTGCTGTCACCAGTCATATTCTTAGCAGGGTGTGCCTACTGCTGCTGCCTACTGCTGCTGCCTACTGCTGCCTGTTCCACCACTCACTGCATGCTCCACCTCGCTTTTGGCAGAGGGGACGTTGCGAGGCGCGAGTCGCCTCGAGGAACGAAAGGTTCCGAGAGGACATCAACGCGCCGCCGGCCACGTTCCCACCTTGAAGCCAACCACTTCAATAGACCGCAGCCCCTTTAGAACTGGAGAAACAAAGGTCCGTTTTAAGACCGGCGTTTTCCCTGATTCCGGTTGTAATGCACTAGAAACGAGGCTCGTTTCCACACCATGTCATCCTTCTGGATCGCCAGCTCCGCTGAACAGCTGAGTCCTTGTACGACTGAAGAAGCATCCTTCACCAACGCAAACGATATCCCTGTCCATTCGGTCCGATGGGGTCGCGCGGGAAGACGATCCCTGGTGCTCGGAACTTCTCCAAATCTATAGCCTGCCAACAGCTCCTTCTCTGGCAACTACTAGGATCCAACGTCTCGCGCTCTACTTCCCTGCTAAACATGTTCCCGGTTCGTCTGGCCCCAAAAGCCCCTACAGCCTATTCAGGCGCCAGTCGAGGAAGATTGCTTCCCGCCCCATTGGCCCTGGTCGTTTCATTATGGCGTCGACTATTATGAGGAAAACTGTCGGAACTCGTAAGCGCTAGTAAGAGTCTCACCCCCTTCTTAAAATCTTGTTTTCTAGAGCTCTCTGCCCAATCCTGACGGGTTGCCTTTCCATATTGTCAGGGCACCAACCAGGCTACGGTTACGTGCCTCCCCTACTTGGTCTGGACTCTGTTCGACCTTCGTAGTTTGCCCTTCTCACTGCACAAAATAGATCTTCCCTGGCATCCTGGGTCTGCTCCGTGATACATATCTGCTAAACGCTTCGCCACGGTCGCCCACCGCCGAGACTTCGGGATGCTAATCTGGTGCGTGACAGGATGGTTGTCCCGCGGGCGAGATGATATCAACGCGAAGCGGCGTGCTTAGTTTAGCCTGAGAATGCTCTTGAATAATTCTATTTTCGTGAGCTGACAAGCTGTCCATGGAACATTCACTGGATTTTCTGATAGCCTTCATTTTCGCACGTACTGACCGAGCCGGCCTGGAAGACGCTATTTAATACTGCTTCTTAGGCCGCTGGTCCTGCGAGAGCGGCCAGCTTTTAGTGAGCGAGAAGAAGAGTGGCCAGGGCAGCGCATGCCACCGAGTCGGACGGTATAGGTAGGTCCGTCTGCATGTCAAGATTCCCATACTATTAGACGCCTGTCGGGATGCATCGGTCGACCAGAATCCGTGATCAACACAAGGAATAGAAGCTCGGAATATAGTCATTGCCTAAAGCGTGCAGATGTGTGACGATAATACGTCATTAGCACCACATTAAGCTGCGGCCTTGCGGCACAAACGGCTCGTCTAGCAACTTGATAGGGGGAGCCAATGCTACCTGGCTGCAATAGTTGGCAGCTAGTAATGCAACTATCCCCGGTAGCCTTGGCTGGGAGCCTATAGATCTGGCCTTGCCGTGGCGCAAATGCACACTTGAGCATACGGCTAGGTCGTCTCGAATACTCATCTCAGGAGACGTGCAGGCAGAAGCAAGCAGTAGCACGAGCGAGGCGTCCACTATTGGCGTCTTCGTTCCTCAGAGAAAATCGAGGCCCAGGGGGGCGTAAGAGGCCCAGACCGTCTAGTGGACTGTGCGCTCGGGGGAAGGGGGCGGAAGGAAGAGCCTTTCGTTTCTCAACTTCCTCAAGGCACTGCCACTGCTGTGCGGCGGCTGCGCCGCTGCCTTGCAGCATTGCTAGGGTGTACAAGAGACTGGTCCGTTCTAGGGACCGCCAGTGCCTCGAGAAACGAAGAAGTGGTGGTGCTGAGGCTGCAAGGGCACGGGAGACGCTATGGTATGTACCGGCCGAGGGCGCGGAAGGGTCTTGTATGGCAATAAGGAGTAGTGTCTCGATGCAAAACACGGCTGGGGGCCGCTTACTCGATGGCACCCAAGCTGAGGGCTGGGTGTCATAGACAATAGACATTAATAGACTACCCAGCCTTGATGCAGCAGATGCCTGTGGATTTTTATCAGCAGAAAAGCTGCTTCCGTCGTCTCGTCTTTAGCAATATCTCATCGTTAGCAACGAGATCAACTCAACTAGCCATGGCTGCTCGCACACAAAGGACTACCATACAGGCAATTGGCCTATGGGGCTGTTGCATCCTCGGCCTCGGCACCATCTTTCTTATTGCCTCTGTTGGATTCTTGTCTTTTTTTTGGGTTGATTCAAAAGCCGCCATGAAAAACTACAAGCCGCCATCTTCACTATGGAACACCATCGTTCTTAGTGGCTGGGCGACCAGAACAGTCACTATAAGCTCCATCTTTATCCGTATTGCTATAAGCCTACAGAGCGGGCTAATTACGGCCATGCTGGCATCCATGATTATCGAGAACCGCGGCGTCTACCTGCCCCAACTGCCGGCCCTATCTATTATGCGCAGCGTCAGCAGTGGTGCCCACAACCTGATGGAACCGCTGGCATCTGGGCCTAGGGATCTTGAGCAGCTATGCTACGGGGCTCTTGCAATCCTTGTACTTGCTACATCTTTGGCATCAAACTTTACGTCGACTTTGCTGCTTGCCGACTTTGGTACTGTTGATGTTCCGGCAGCAGCAAAACACGAGGCCGTGCCTGCTGGCATCGACAAAACATACGAGACGACTGGCGTTGACTACTGGAGAAGTCAGCCTAATATATTCCCGAGGTTTGCAGAATTAGCCGGTAGTCCAAAATTTGCCCCAGGAGTACAGGACACAGGGCCATCACTAAGAGCCTTTTTGCCGTATGCTTCAATAGCAGATCGTCAAGCTCTTAAGTACTTCAACGGCCAAGGACCAGTATATAATTCTCAGGTTGTGTGCCTTCGTCCCACATTACGGAATCTTTCCGTCAACTATTCCCTGGGACCTACGACCACCACCATGTTTGTCAGCGGATATTTTGCAGGGTTTGAAGCCCCTAACAACACAGAGTCTTCCACTGCTGGCCTTGGTATGGGAGATTTCAGCTGCACCATGGTGAAGACTTATGGCGAAACCAATATCTATAGCGTACAGTCTCTGTGTTTCCCACAACTTGAGGGAACCGAGCTGGATGGTACCCTTTCGCATAGGTCCTTGTTATTCAAGTTGGATGACACTGAGTATTGGGAGCCCTGGCCTCTCGACGAATTTGTCCAGTTTGCCGATAACGTCTGGAATACGTGGACGTCTAGAGACAAAACACAGACGTTAAGGGCCACAACCTGTCACAATTTTGTCGACGAGCCTCAGCTAAGGCACACCAACATGATTGCAAGCCAAAAATACAAAGAGCCTACACCACTGTTTGACCCAGGCACTGGAAATGCCCTGACAAGCGACATTATCTCTCTCTATTGCACGCACTGTAACCCTTCGGCGAGACAAACGGGTCGAATGGAGTTAAAGTTACTACCCAGCGACTATAAAAAAGGCGCGCAGGTCTTTATTCCAGTTTACGCCGCACTTGGGAAGGGTTTATACGAAGACCAAGGCTGGAAGGGTGTTGCCATAATGTCCTACGCCGGAAATTCTATCAACCAGGTCTACACCAACATATTTTGGGATATAATCGATCAAACAGGCAATGCCGCCTTTGCCGTGCAAACTCTCTTTACAATTTTAGCCCAAATGTCCTACTATGATGCTCTACCCAGGTTTAATACTTACTCTAAATCACAAAGGCAGTTTTGGGAAGCATATAGCGTGCCGACTGGGTGGAAAGGGCTTGCAGGTGTTATTGGAATCATTGGCACTCATACCCTACTTATGCTTTTGGTTAGTATGCTATTCGCGCGGATGACAGGTTATTCCTTTTTGTTGAATGTTTGGCCGGCTGTTACGCAGCTTTACTCTGCCCACCACCCTGTTGAAAATATGATGAAGCAGAACCCAGACATGACGGATAAGCAAGTCAAGGCACATCTCAAGTGTCAAGATCTACACAGGGCTATCTATTGGATTAACCAGACAGAGCTGCAAGAAGATGAACGGAAAAGCCTATAAACAGTGACACCTTAGCAGCCACGACATGAGATTAAAGAGCAAGATACTTCTAGCATTAACTAAATATAATAGGATTCAAGTATACTCGATAAAGAATGATAATAGGCGTAAGGTTGTCGCGAAGCGTGGCCTGATTTCGCAGTTCTCGGAGATATCCCTTAGCAAGAGGGACCTAGGAAGCTGAAAAACAACTAGTATAGAAGAAGGAAGAAGGAGCTAAAAGGAGGTGTAGAAAGGAGGGTAGGGGTAAGAGAGGAAGTAGAAGTGGCGATAGCTTCCTATAGAGGTAGCGAGAGATAAGACGGATATACTAGCAACGGCTAAAAAAGAGGGGGAAAACCGGTAAAAAGCTTAGTAGTTAAGAGGACATTAGTAGCTTCTTTAAGTAGGATCTTCTTTATTAATTAAGATACTAAACGGATATAAAGAGGGGCGTTAGATAAAAGAAAGAAGGATAATTAAGGCAATATAATAATTACTCCCTTACTATAATTACTACCCCTATAAGAATTAAATATCTCTACCCTACCTATCCGACCCCTTACTTTTAATTTTACCTTTATATATTTTTATATACTTCTTATATCTCTCTTTACGAGAGTTATAAGCCTAAGAGGAATAGAATTCTTATATCTTCTAGCTACTATAAAAGGTACCTTTCTTATATCCCTTATAGCTTCCTTTTACCCCTCTTACTAAAAAAGCTAATTTTTGACTAACTTTTCTACCCTTCCTTTATAATAATATCGAAAAACGATTCTTCTACCGCCCTTATAGTCTATAAGACGATTCTTATAAAGCCCTAAGATTAGGATAAGTAGGTAAAGGAGCTATAGGCTTATATAGATAAAACTATTTATAATTTAGTCTTCTTTAATAAGTAGGACCCTCTTAAGCCCCCTCTTTATCTTAAGGCAACGGAATTTATAGAGGGAGCTTCCCTCTTCTCTAAGCTAACCTCTATATAGTAGAGAACCTTTTCTACTACCTTAGGTAACTATAAGAGTTACTATAAGGAATCCCTTTATAAAACGAAGCTACTAACTACTATACGTATAGTAATAATAGAATCTATTAGTGCTATAAAGCTAATCTCTCTTTAAGAAGAAGAGACCCTTAGGTAGTAGCTTTAAAAGCTTAAAACCTTAATAGCTCCCTTAAGGGGCTATATAACTAACTATATTAAGAAGACCTATATAGTATACTTAGGAGCCTTTTTTACTAGGAACTTACTAGCTTCTTTATAGCTAGATAAGTAAGAAGAAATCCTTAAGAAAGCTAACTAATACTTCTTAATAAAAGCTCTTTCTAGCTAATAGCTATAGGATATATCTCTACTAATAAAGCCTATTAGTAACGGTTACTTAACTATCTTATAAGAAGCTAGCTAGGAACTAAATAAAGAGGCTGCTTAAGTATAATAGTAAGTAGTCTTATTCCTTCGTAGCTAGTACTTAACCTAGACGGCTCGACCTACTACGGCCCCCGCTACTACTGCTACTACTACTGCCCCTCTAGCTCCTCCTCCCTCGAGAGTATTAATACTATCTTTAACGGCTACCTTAGTCCTAGCCCTAGCTTTGTATCTTACTCTAGGTCCGGCCCTAGCCCTATTAGTCCGTCCGACCTAACTAGTCCCTTAATAGACCTTTTAGTCTATTAGTCGAAAAATTAAGGAACTAGTTAAAATCGAACCTCTTTATTAAAATTAGTAATAAGGGGTAAAAAGGGGGGGTTTTTAAGTAGACCTTCTAGACTAAGACGAGGATTCCTTAAAGAAATAAAAGACTAAAAGATAAAACAGCTGCCTAGCCTATAAATCCCTAGGCTATTAGTTATTATAATACTAGTAAGTCTTTAAGGAAAACTAACCTAAAGGATTTAACCCTTCGAAGAGGCTATAAGAAATAATATAATAGTCTCTTAAGGAGGATCCCTCGTTATAGAAGAAGATAGATAAGATTTAGGTTACTAAGAAATAGTAACTAATAACGCCGCTGCCCTTATTTAAGCTATAAATTTAAGGAAAAATCGTTAGTATAGTAAATCTAGTATTTATATTCCCTATAGATTAGTAAGACCGCTTATTAAGACCCTCTAACTGTCCCCTACGAAAATTAGCTATCCTTAACTCTAGTACTTCCCTTAATATCTATAATATACTCTTATAATTCCGGTCCTTTAAGAAGGCAAAAAGGGAATACTTTATTACTAGGGAATTAACCGTATAGATAGAGGGATATAGAAGGGTGAATTTTATAATAAAATTACTTAATAGGTCTATATAAATTCTTTAACGAAAAAGGGTAGCTTTTTACCCTCGATTTTTAATAAGCTTAATTTCCTTTTACCTTCTTTAAGAGGAAGGAATCTTCTAGGATATAACGTTTAAGCCTATAAGGCTAGTCTAAAAGAATTAAACGATTAAGCTTATTAAGGAGAAATTCGGTTAATTTATTCTTAAATTCCGACCTATCCTTAGGAAGGAATCTCTTAAAAAGTTAGCTTTCCCTACTTAAAGAAGGGTAGGTTCTAAGGACCCTTATCTAGCAGCCTAAGAAGACGGCCTTCTTTAGTATATACGACTTAGTTACCTAGGCCCCCTAGCTTTATATAAGCTAGGCTAATAATAAGGCGTATAAATAAAGGGCTTAAAGACTATTAAATATAAATACTATAGCTAAGGAAAGACTAAGAGACGAATTTCTAGATAAATACCTTTATAGCTAAACTAGCTATATAAGGAAATTTAGGTCGACTAAACCGATATCTCTAGGGACTAAGAGAGCTTCGTTAGGGTAATATTTTTTATAGACGCTTTTTTAGGGATAGTTTCCCTTTATTTCCTATAGACCTACCTAAGTAAGTATAACTAGTCTACCTTTTAAGACTTTATTAACTAAATAAAATCCTACTTTAGCTATAAGGTAAAGAAGATACGGTCTAATAAAGAGCTATTTATAAAAGATATCTTAAACTAGCTTCGAAAAAAGGGTATTTTACCCCTTTTATTAGCACCGAATACCTAGGCCTAAAACGGAGGGGTAAAAAGATTAAGAGGTACTATAATAAAAAGGGCCTATATAATAAGACTTATTATAAAGCTTCCCTACGACCTTTAAAAGGAAGTCGTTAAGACCGTTTATTACCTTTAGAACTAGACCCTAAGGGACCTTAGGGGCCTAAGGGACTATAGGGACCTAGAGACCCTTTTTAAGACCTAAGGAATAGACTAGAAATCTCCCCTTAAGCTCTTTATAAAGAAGAGGGCCTTATTAACCTACCTTTATACCTATAGCTATAAGGTATATACTATAACTACTAATATATAGCTAAAAAGGAAGAAGAAAAGAAAGCTTAATCTTAGAGCCTTTATTAGTTACCTTATTAGTTATAATTCTATAAATATCTTTTAGATCTAGATTCCTCTTTTATAGAAGGTTATTTTAACTAAGGATATAATTTTCGACGAATCTAGCTTCTTTAATAGAAAGAGGGATAAATAGCCCCTCTTACTCTTATAACGTTAGCTAATTTAAAAGATCTAAATCCCCCCTTTTTAATAGTCTTAAGACGAGGTCCTAGATAAGGAAATAAAGGAAGAAACTAATATTAAAGTAGTTAAGGATAACGCTAACTTTAAAAAAGAAAAAGAAGAAGCTATTAGATTAAATAATCTAGATAAAGAAGGAGACTATAAGAAAGCGGTAGAGCTAGAATACGCCTACCTCCTTATGCCTCCTCCTATATAATAAGAAGATTTAGAAGTAGTTTTTTCTATTAGTCTTCCTATTTAGACCTTTAAAGGGGTAGGAAAGGTACCTCTTTCTCTCTTAAAGGATTACCTAGCTACCTTTTTATCCTTACTTTAAGAAGTAAAGGAAGGTATAGGGCCTAATATAAAGAATATTAACCTCTCTTTTATTTTAATAGTTTTTCTAATTTTTATCTAACGCTTATAGAAGACGGATCCTATAAAGTATTTATAGTAGGCCGGCTCTTTAAGCTATAGCTATTAGTAAGGAAGGTATATAAAAGAGACCTCTTAGACCTACTAGTAAACTAAAAGTAGCTAGAAAAACACCCTTTTAAAGACTAGTTTTTCTAAGCCTAAAAAGACTACCTAGCCTTATATAAAGAGATAAGGTCTTTTAAAGAGGTTCTTAAGGAAAAGGTAAGAGGAAAATAGGTCCTTAGCTATAAGTAGGTCTTTATATATAAGACTAATAAATATAGCTTCCTTTAAAAGTATAAGGCCTAGCTAGTTATCTATAGGAATTAATAGGAAAAAGGGGATCTACCTATTAAAGCAACTACCTTAGTAAGGATATCTTTTTAGACCCTTATAGCTATAGTAGTAGAATTCGACCTTAAGCTTAATTAAATAGATACTATTAACGCCTTTATTAACTACCCTTTTAAGGAAGAAGAAGTTATTTATATATAACTTCCTCTTAGTTTCTAATAACTAAGAAAGGTTCTATAGCTTAAGAATACTTTATATAAACTATAAAGATTACCTCTTTTTTAGTAATAGTATTTACTAGGTTCCCTTAAAGCCCTAAGCTTTAAGAAAGTCCCTTAGGAACTATATATAATATAGAAGGGTAAAATTATAGTCTTTTTTTACGTCGATAATATTATCTAGGCCTACTTAAAAGAGAAAGAAGTAACTACTAAGGAGGCTATAAAAGGCCTATAATAAAGGTATAAGATAACTAAGCTAAGGGAGCTAAAGTAGTTCCTAAGGATTTAAATCTTTTAAAATAAGTCTTAATAGACTATTTAGCTTACTTAAGACGCTTATATCGATAAGGTCGCTTATAAATTCCTCCCTAAATCCCTTAATAAGAAGCTTCCCTTTATACTTATATTAAATAAAGAGCTTTTACTTAATCCGTCCTTTTAAGCTAAGGAGTAAGAAAAACACTAATGCTAATAAAAGGTAAGCTCCTTGCTTTTTTCTTTTTTTTAGCTATTTCTACTAAACTAGATATCTC